GGGCAATTTCTCCCATTTTCCTGAGGCGCCATGTAACTCCGTCTTTGTGAAGTTGCTGGTCCAACTTCTTTGATTGAATTCAAAGAATTTAAGCAGACTAATGGATACTGAGGTTAATATTCTTGACTAGGCTTCCTCACAGACTCTGGATGAGCCTAGAAGAGGTATAGTTCTCACTGAAGGTTAGAATTTCCTTCAGCAGTTTTCCTGTTTGCTTTGTGTCTTCAGTTTTCCTTCTGATTCCCAAAGCACTTCTGTTTATAAATGAAAACTCCCTTTTGAAAATGGCTGTTGTCATCTTAATAGTAGATTTGTATCAGTTGCACTACTGAGGTAATCAATAGTGTAGGAATCAATTGGGGAGTCAATTAGGCTGAAAAATGATGAGTATCACAACACCCAGTTCTCTCTACACCCAGAGAGTACTTCTAGATGGTCAACATTATCAGCGATGATACTCTTTCCCCGGCTCCGTAGTTCGGCCAGAGGCCTGCATCTGGGCAGGGCATTCCTCAGCCCAATTGTTATGTGAGTGGTTGGCTTCACTTTGGTGACACAGAGAGGGGAAAAGATGTTTACAGAGTACAAAGGTTGTTCATTGACCATTTCCAAATTCAGTATGATTGAAAGAGATTAATGTGTTCTAAGTCATACAGGTGATGAAACTGGAAATTGAATCTGGGTCTTTTTGAGCCTACGGCTCATGTTTTATCCATGATGGCAAACTGCCTCTTGGGACCTGCAGTGCCCTGTCATGAGACCCAGTTCTACTTTCTTGGTGGCAAATTCCCCACCCCTTTAACCCACACTTCTAGAGTCCATCCACAGAAGCCAGCACACAGAAGTCTGCTTGGGAGTGCCAGCCACTTGGCTGCCTGTGCTCCACTTGGCCAGCCAGCCCAACCCAGAATTCCTTTGCATTCCCTTTCATTCCCTCAGCCATCCTGACATGGTGATACCCTTTTCCTTTCTCCATGGTCTCTCACCATGTTCATCTGCTTCCCCAGTGCATCTGGGATGACTTCAGGTTTATTCATGTTCTCACTCTCCTATTTCATAGCTAAACCCTTAGCACTTCGAGGCATTCAAATTCTACATCCTTAAAATTGAACCCATCATGTATCCATCAGATGTTTTTTAGTTGGGTTTATTTTTGCGTTCCTGTGTGTATGACACTATTACCCTCCCTGCTATCTGTCCCGATGGGCAAGAACTCTGAGACTTGAAACTTATTAGAATCATGGACGTGCTTTTGGCTTATTTAGCTTTTAAAACCAACAGCGGCCAATGTTTTGGATTTTGGAATATATCTGGATGCTTTCTATGAGCCCACCATCATGGGCAAATCCAAGAGTACACATTAGCAAGTCTACATGACAATAGCTAATGTATTAATCAGTTAAGCCTTAGCAGTCCCTCTCAAGGTTTTACAGATAGAGATTTAATTTTTGAATTGCTTTAAAAATCACATTAGAAAAATGTATTTTTAAATCTGACCAACTCATTTAACAGCTGCCATAGAGCATCTGCTTCTGCCCGGGGTTGTAGCCAGATCAGAAGTAGTCTCTTGGCCTCACACACTGATAATAATTATTTCTCTTCTCTGTGTTCCCTATTGCTCAGTGAGTGGGCTTCCAGAAACATTTTAGCATCCAGCAACAGAGATGTGGATTCTTCTACTTCAAATGCCAAACTGCCCCTGAATGGAGTTAGCATAGCTCCCCCACTGAATTTAAAATGAAGTCATATACTACCAGCCTCACATGGTTTTTGTGAAGATTAAATACATACAAAACCTCTCAGAACAAGTGTGAGGACATAGTGAGTCACTCCATAAATATTACACGTGATTATTCTTATTTATTTGTAAATAAGGATTGATAGGAGATACAAGAGTAAATTGATTTGCATTTTCCATAGTAATCCCATAAAGGTACCTGTGAGATGCTCAGGTGAAACAATATTTAACTTTCATATTTTGAAAATAATTATTGACATACTGCTTCTAATAAATGGTGTTAACCAGTTTCTTGTCTTTATGTAATGTTTCAACAAGGATGTATGGATGTATAGTGTTAGTAATTTTGTTTTGTTTTGCTTTGTTTTACAGTGTTGGGGATGCTAGGCAAGAGTTCCACCACTGAGTTACACCTCTAGCCCAACATTGCTAATGTGTGTTAGTTTAAAAAATGTAACTAGCACATCAAATTCATGATTTCTTGGCCATGATTGCTTATGACGAAACTAAAGTGAAAAAAAGAAAACACCATTGAAATATCTATTGACTTGTATACACACATATATAAATGTATATAAAATTTAAAAAGTAGGCTTATGTGACTATGCCAAAAATATTGTAGGGATGTGGTTTTACTTCATTTCATTCCCTCAGTTAGTCTTGTGAGCCAAGCATCATAATTCCTCCCATTTAACAGATACAGAAACTGAGATTTAAAAATGTGTATCATTTTCAAAGTCTCTCTTAACTAGTGGTAGACCTAGGATTCAAACTAACAATCTTTGCTCTCTATTGGGCTTCTGTGGACATGCTTTCTCATTTTCCTTCTCAGGACTGCTTTTGTTTGTTTGTTTCAAAATTTTAAATTGGATTTTATTTCTTTAAGATGTATTTCTGAGAAATCTTAGAAAATACAAAGAAAATATTTTTATTCATATAAGAGCACTCTGTTTAAGTGTGCAATGCAGTGTTGCTAACTATAACCACAATGTGATACAAAAGATCTCTTATTTGTCACAGTCCTAAGAGTTTGGCAGACCAAACAAGGAAACTGAGGGAGGTTAGAAACTGATTAGAGCGCCTTAGATAATGTAGGCACACTAGATTCTTGGCTCCCAGACCCCTTCCTCTAAACTCTAATTCCTCACATCATTGGTCCTGGCATGCTGCCCCTTCCTTTGAAATAAAAAGTAATGTGTCCTCAGGGAACCATCAGAAGCCACCCAGTTTAATATCACCATAGGCTTCTTCCTATCAAAGAGCAGGGTCTGGAAGGGGGTGGCCTGGGCTCCGCTCCCAGGATGACAGCAGCACTGGCACAGAGCTTAGTGATTTCTGTCTACACAAATGTACACACAAATACATGCCCCAGCTGATTTAATTAAACCCCTTCTCAACTCAAATGGTGAGTTTGCACAAAGAACTGAGTCTCTACCAAATTACCAGTTTTTGATTCTGTTGCTTTTCAACTGGTTGTTTGGGCTCTTTCTGGTTCACAGCTTTCTTCAATAGTGAATTGGAGGGAAGGGAGGTTAAGATGTTAATTAGGCAGCAGTGCTAAATTATGCAAGTGCCCATGGAAAACAGATGCCGTGTAAATGCAGGTTTACAATTACTACTGTAATACAGTTTTTTAAAAAAAGATTTGTAATGATCTGTGATTCTATGAAGTTATATATTAGGACTCCATGGGCTTCTGAAACTGAGCTCTTTTACACACTCTGCATCATAATCATGTGTTTCCATGTGGACATCACGTGCTTCATTTGGACATCATTATAAAACAGCAACAAGTGACCTATGTTAATTTTGGTCACTGGATCACAGCTGAATTGAAAGGCTGAGAGTCGCAGTGCTTTCCCATTTCAACAAAAATAGGCTGGTCTTAGGTACTTGCTGAAGTATAGCTGACAAAAGTACTACAAGTTGGTTTCAAAGGCACAATAGGAGATGTTAACCACCCTCCCAGTCTACAACCCGCCTTGGGAGAAGCAAGTTGAAAACACATGAGGACCTAATCAGATCTTTAATGTTACACAAAGCAAATTGCATTTCAAGCTTGAAAGAACAAGGAACCATTTTAAATGTAAGATTCATCCAGTACCAAATTGTGACAAGTACTTATTTTGGAAAAGTGGATTGTCAGTATTTTCTGATTCTGCTTATTCACCCAGAAAATCTTTGTTTCTTATTTTCTTTAATGAAGTAGGCATAAGAGAAAGTCGGGCTATTCTGATATTTGTGCTGGGAAAAACTGAGACATGATAGTTTGTTTGGGCTGCTTCTTGAGTAACTCTGGCCAGAGTCAGGATAGAACACTTATCCTGGCCATGCTGACTCAGTGTCCACCGCTGACAGGCTTCACTACTCTGTCTTCACCTCCATAGTACAGGAACATCAGCCCTCTGGTCTGACCTTGCAGTAGAGATAATAAGCTAACTTAAAAGAGAAACGACCATATTCAGGATTCAGGCACAGAGCTGGTCAGCTGGAGAGAGGGTTTGGAATAGGTTCTGTTTTCATCTTTGTTTTGTCCAAAATAAAATTCTACATAAAATTTGGGAGAAGAAAATAAACCATTCCTAATTCTGGGTGCTTTGTAGTTACTATGTAACCTCTTTGACCTTTTAGTGCATTTATTTGTACAAGTGAATGTTGCCTTTTATACAAAATGAAATCATTACTGTTGTGTTTTGAAATCTGTGGTTTTCCTTTAAGCATATTCCGAACGTCATTCCATGGTGATAAGCAGAGGTCGCCATCATTTTTGAGAGTTGCTACATAATTTTCTCTTTGGGAGTGTCTCTTCCCTGTCTTCCTCCTCTGTTTCTTCTCTTCATCCCCATTTTCTTCTCTCTTCACTGGCAAATCTTTTATCACTTTTCTGCCTCATAACCTATAATCTTTTGCTCCAGCTCCATTTTATTGTTTTCTTTTGATTTATTCTACTGCTTTGCAATATACCCTCCAACATATGCAAATAATATGAAATGATTTTTTTGTGGTTTTGGGCCATGATAACTGAATAACTCAAACTGAAATAATTTGTTTCCTTTTTTTAAATTGATGGCTTTGTAGTATTTTCTATTCAGGTTCTCTGAGAACAAACATGACAGTATTTTGAAAGCTTTTCATATTCCCAGAAGGAAGAAATGACAGAGGCAAGCCATTATAATGAATGTTTATGATCTTTATTTAAGAACATGACAGTCTCAAGCCCTCTGCCACTTCTAAATCTTGATAATTTATCTTGTTTCCTCAGATCCTATGCCAGTCCACAAAGAAGGGCAAAATGAAGCCGACAGTGCACCAGAAGACCTCCAGTCTGTCGGGACCAGCAGACTGCTGTATCATATCACTGACGGCGACAACCCACTGCTGTCACCACGATGCTCCATCTTCAGCCAAAGCCAGAGATTCAACTTAGACCCTGAGTCAGCCCCGTCTCCACCCAGTACTCAGCAGTTTATGATGTAAGGAAATCTACTTTTATTATCTTCCTTTCATACAGTTTTTCAAATAAATTTACAAACTACCATAAAGTATGTTTCTAAAATAGAATGCAACTGCAAGACATGAACAATAAAGTGAAAATCAGTGTTCTTTCCAGTTGAGAATGCTGTCTCAGGACTCAGTTCCTCTGGAGGAATGGCCACGCAAGTTAGCCTACCATAGGGACTAAATGACTGAATGTTTTTGGTGAAATGATTAGAATTCTAAGTATGGGCAAATGTCAGTGATACCATTCACAATTAGCTCAGTGTTCTTTCCACATCCAAGGGTGACATCAGTGGATGGATTATGGACTAGAGAGTTTGTCCACCTCAATTCCTTCTTAGATTCTAGAAAAGTTGTCACATACAATAACTGTCCTCCCCAATTAGATCAATAGACATCTATCTCATATATGAAATCAGGGGCTGGTCCCCCATCCACTGTGATTATAATTTTTATTTAAGATTAGCATGAGGTTGAGGCACTGTGTTATTTGCTTTTAGGTTTCACAAATAATTGTGATACATAAGTAAAACTGACAATCCCTTGGCTTAAAATATGCTTAGAGAATATTCATTTTTTTCTCCCATAGCTTGTGCTCTGATTCTTGAATTTATCTAAACCTGCGTCCTTGAACTATCCATTGATGCACTTGAGGGAGTCAGTGAATTACTATTGTATGTAAATTGTGTCACATGAAAGGGTGCTCACATTTTCTGCAGACAGTGCCCAATCCTTTCATCATATTTGATAAGGTTCTGTTATGCCAAGTAAAGGCAGCCACCTTGAAATCTTCCTTGGATATGTTAATGGGTATGGTTTATGTAATTTGTTGAAGACATTGTCTCAGCAGGGCTGTCTCTTCTGTCTTAAATTGGCCTCTCTAAGCTTTTTGAGATGTGTTTCTTCAACTAATATTGTGACATTTTTATACTAAAGTACCTTAATGTAGTTCTGGAGGCCCTCAGATAATGAGCTGCACTCTAGACTGCTCTGATCATCTTGTTTGCAGATCATGGAGCAGCGTTTACTAGAAGACTATTGTTTTTAATGTTCCTTGCTTCCCTGTAATCATGGCAGGCCCCGAAGTTCTTCACGGTGCAGCTGTGGTGACGGCAAGGAGCTGCAAACCATCACCCAACTCACCAAGCATATCCAGAGCCTCAAGCGCAAAATTCGGAAATTTGAAGAAAAATTTGAACAGGAAAAGAAATACCGGGTAAGGAACCTAGGGTTTAATAAAAGAGTAGATTTTGTCAGACAAAGGTTTGTGGGTTTTTCTGAGTCTCTGTCCTTCCTTTTTGGGTACTGCTCTCTTTCAGGGGACAGCTCTATTCCCACTGGCTAACCTAGAATGTATCATAAGTTGGGTTCCCATCCTGAATCTGCCTTGTTCTCACATGCACTAAGATATTTCCTAGTGACAGATTATAACTCTTATTTCTGTACTTATTTGATTATTCAAATTTATTTTCCCTGAGGAAAAAATTCTTACCTTATTATCACTAGTTTTTGGAAAGACTTAAATTATAGTTTTTCCCATCTGCATTTTGATAAGAATCTATTAAGGACCTAGCAGGCAGAAATTAGTTGTGGAGAATAATGAGTAAGGGATGGTCTTTTGGGCATTAAAGTACTTCCTGGTTGATGAGTGGAGATTTCCCAAGTGACACCAGTTCAGGGTACTCAGAAGAACAAACTTTGAACCATTCTTTCTCATGAGAGACACAAGTCTTTGTCTGGCTCTACAGTGCTACAAACAGGAGCCCTGTTATTTCTCACATAAACAATAGAGTCATAGATAAGTGTTTTGATGGCCATTGCTACTTATGTGTTTTCTCTTGTGCTGACCATGGCATAGAAAAAAAATCATAGTAACATAGGATTGCACAAAGATGTGAGATCTTTGGGAGAGGGCCCAGAATAGCTTGTTATTAGAATGAAAGAGAACAGGGAATAATCTCTCATACATCTTAAAATATTTAAAGGTGCACTAAGTACTTGATACAGAGGCAATGGAAATGTTCCTGTGAATATGTGATAAGTTCTGGGGAGGAGCTTAAAGTAGGTAATATTCAGTTCTTTCATTCCTCCTGTTCTATGTGGCCACAGCTTCACTAAAAGAGGAGTGGTTTTAAGCTTCACAAAATGGAAAAAAAATCAAATTGGCTGTCAAGATAATCTTAGTCAGGGTTTTAAAGATTCTTCTCTTCCTTAGAGTCAGGCATTCACAGCTTCTTAATTTTTTAGAGTGTTGGGGGGGCTTTACAAATTATTATTGTTATACTATTATTATTATTATTTTACATATAAGAAAACTGAAGCCCAGTGAAGACTTAGAACTTGCCTAAGGTAGTTGTGTCCTATTAGCACCGGCTTGGAGCAGTGAATTAAAGATGAGTAGGTTTTCCATGTAGGAGTAGAAATAAAAATCTTTTGTGTGCTATTTTAAAAGGTCAGATATCCTGGAAGAAGCTGATATGGGACGCGATGAGTAACAACTAGGGGCTCCATTTCCAGGGCCTGTTAACACATGTGACCCATCAGCGCTTGAGTCGGACTGCACTGGATTTGAATCTAACCCATTAAGGAACTTTCGCCCTTACTCTTGTTATTTCACCTGTCAAGTCTGTCTGTCCATCTTTAAAGTGGAGTTATTAGTTATTATTAGTAGTGACTTACCTATTAAATTAGGGAGTACATGTATAATTCTTATTACACTTTTTGGCACAAGGGGAATAACTGGTCTTATTATTAACCTTTTAATCTGTTTGAGTGATATTTGAACAGGTACCCAGTGTCACTCTCTGCCTTGTTAGAAAATGAGGGGAATTTGTATACTAATTCTCTACTGGATTTTTTTCTGTCAGTAGCCACACACCTTGGATTATTTTTCTCAGTTCTAATGTCCACCCAGTAGTTGCCTGTTTTGAAAGAGAATTTTTTCTGGCACCTCCTGCCTTTGTTTTGAGAAGTTTTAAAGCAGAGCAGACAGATAGACACACATTTAAATATGCACACATGCAGAAGGACAGATGTGAGAGCAGTAGGGGATGGAGGTACATAGTCACTGCTGCTTCAGTGTGTCTAACAGCTTTTGATATAATCAGAACCTTACATATCCTAGGAAACAGGGCTTCCCCCTGCCCTTCCTGTCAGGGTGCCAGGCTGTGGTGAGAGGCTTGACATGTCAATGGACTTTAATTGGTTGCTGGGTGTAAGGCTTCCCTTCCTGGCAGTCTGACTACGGAATTAATAGCACTCAGTGCTAATTTTTGAATCCAAGCTCCCGCTGGGTTTCTATGCTGTTCTTACGTCTTTGAATAATATATCTTCCCATCTTTGTTGAATGTAACCATTTTATATCTCTACCCAATACTGTGTTATTCCCCACAACTGTCTTTGTATTTGATTACTGGACTCTGAATTTAGAAGACATCATCCAGAGTGTCTACTTTCAGTGAAATCAGAAAATGTTAGAGTTGGAAGAGACCACCAATAGTTTCTTATCAGATGGTTGAAGAAACTGAGGCCATGGAGGGGAGTTGAATTCCCCAGAATCATACAACAAAGAACCTAGACAAGATAACAACTCAGGGCTTTTCATTACCAATCAAGAAATCTTTCTAATGTATCTTAGGAGCCGTCTTTGGCAGACCACAAATCCTCCCCAATGGTATTTTCAGTTATGGGGTCTGGGCATCCATTTTAATTTCACTGAACAAAACTTAAACTACACAACTTTTGGGTATATGACCATATCTATTAAACCAGAATATTTCAGTTTGGAAGTTAGAAGGCTTGAACATCCACAACTTGTTTGTGAAAACTTTTATGTGATTTTAGAGCTGCTATCCTTGTAATCTTGTTTAATCTCTTTTAAAAGTTCCCCGAGGGTAGAAACTGATTTTAGGCCTTTTTCAGATCCAGGTGCTGATGGCTCACACCTGTAATCATAGCTACTTGGGTGGAAGAGATCAGTAGCATCATGGTTCAGGGCCAGCCTGGAGCAAATAGTGTGTGAAACCCTCATCTCCAAAATAACCAGAACAAAATTGACTGGAGATGTGGCTCAAGCAGTAGAGTGCCTGCTTTACAAGCAGGAAGACCTGAGTTCAAACTCCAATCCCACCAAAAAACAAAGTGGTAAATTACTTTATCACAAAATTTAGCCTTAAATTTCTACTAAGTCCTAAGTACAATGGTAATAATTCATATCTTGGTTGGTCATTGGCTTAGAGTCTTGAGGGTTTTTTTTATGTTCCTTTATTTTTTTTAGCATATTTCAAAAGATGGAATCAATGATGTGGGGGGCAGATCCATTGAAGCACTGTTTAATAAGATGGATTCTTAGATTGGAAAATTATCTAAGGAGTCTGAGAAATCGAATATAAAACATTGACTGTTCATATAACCAGATTGGTACCCAAAGGCAAAGTAGTAGACTGTATACCAGGGAACTAATACAATGCACCATTTCAATAGACCATAGGTAGGACTGGACTAAGTTGTTGGGGGTGGGCAGAAGGGGGAAAAAGGCCCACAAGTCACACTGTCCATGGTTCTGAAACTAGGCCTCCTTCATGGAAACAATAGTCTCTCCAAGCTCCCTAGGAAAGAATCATTGTTATTTTCTTTCAGTCATCCATTTTATTTTGATTTTTAAACATGTGATTTTATATCAGTATAGAACTAATAACCACAATATGTATTTCACAATGAACATACATAATCCCATGTACGTTTGATGATCTTACCATACAAATATTGATTTCTCCTTTGAACTTGACACATATGTGTTTTCCATCTTCCTGTGGATTTAGTGGATCCATAAGAAATCATGTCAGAGCCCCAAGATTTGATTACTAACAATCCACACACTTCAAGCTATTATGTTTATGATCATGTCATTTTGAGCATTACTGTACAGTTCCTCACATATCCTTAGTTCAAAGTAATCATTAATCTTCTTGAGCCTGCATTTAAGTTACAGTGGTGGCCTGGACTTCTTTATGAATTCTCCTTACTAATCTGTGGTGTAGAGGGTAGTATGTTTAGCTACCCTTCTTTCCTAGTTTCTCTTTTCTGTAGAAATACCACTTTTGTTCTCTGAGAAGGAATTCAAAAGTCAAGCAAGTGATTTGAATTGACAGAATCATATACTTCTAAAATATAAAATATTCTTATTGCCACATCTTAGGCATGCTAGCTCCTTGTAGGATATGCATTCTCCTCCATGTATATTTGCTAGTGTAGACATGTTCACTATTCCTTTGAAGGACTGGTAGACACACTACTACAATCATCATCACTACTGCTAGTGAAAATAATACCAACAGTAGTAATATTTATAGTTCTAGTTAACTAACAGTTCTATAGGGTTTATCATGCAATTGGACTTGTTTACAGTGTTTCACAGGCATTAGCCAATCAATCACAGGAAATTTATGAAGAAGGTAATGTTATAATCCTCATTCAATAAATGAGACTATGAGCATAGAAAAGCTAACTAATTTGCCTGAGGTCACCACATGTATGATTAAATTTCACTTTAATGTTAGTTCCAGTGGGATCTTAGTCTATAAATAGTGAAAGGATTAGAAATCTGGTTTCCTCCCTGACAGACTGCCTTCTCAGAACATTTGTCAGGTCTTAGAGACCTTGGGGTCTCTTTTCTTTGGCTTGAGGGGTAAGACTGATAGACTTTATATCTCCCAGTTTGTCAGTATTCTCCAGCAGGTAATTGTCCTAAGCCATGTATGTGCGCTACAGGCAAGGTTGGAAGCAATGGTTTATATTGCCAGTGCAGTCATGTCCATTCATACAGACAATGGCCTGGCAATAAGGTATGGAGTATGGATGGTCTGCAAGGGGATTGAGTGTTAGACAGTAGGGGGCACTGGCACAGCTAGGGCATGTGAAAATGCTGGGTGACCAAGCGTGTTTAGAATAATGCCCTTGACAAGGATAAAAATGTAGAAGATGTTAAAAATGTTTGTTTTGTTTTCCAGAAGCAACTCCATCAGCTGGAGTTTTCATGCCTGAATGTCTGTCCCAGTTTTGTATGTTCCTGAACTATCTTTGTGTGGCTGGGCTGTTTAAAAGTTTTGTTTTTCCTTTTTCTCTCTTTCTTTCTGTCCCTCCTTCCCTCCCTTCCACTTCCATTTTCCCCTTGTTCGGCAGCCTTCACATGGTGACAAGACTTCCAATCCTGAAGTCCTGAAATGGATGAATGATTTGGCTAAAGGTCGTAAACAGCTCAAAGGTAAATGCTAGCCAAAGGTCTTTTTTTCTCAGAAAAGCAGTTAAAATAGTATAATGTGCTCCAGGGCATTTTTGATTCATTTCTACCTGTTTCCTGCTTAGATTGGAGGCTTCTTTTGAAATAAAGGAGGTCCTGGATCTCCTTTATTGTAAAGCCCCATTTGATAAATCTCCTTCCAAAGAGACTGAGGACCTCTAGTCTCCAAGTAGAATGATTTGCTCCAATGCCAGGAACATTTCAACCTGTGGAGGTCAACCTCCATGGTTATTGGATTGTAGGATGTTGGAAACAAAAGGGGCCTGAGAAATCATTTCCTCCCCATTCACCATTGCACAGATGAGGACTTTTGCCCAGAAAGAAAGGAGGTATGAATAAGGTGTAAGATGTGGTCTTCCTGCTTCCTAGCCCACTGCTCTTCTTTCCCTGTCCCTCTCTGGAGATGGTGGTATATTAATCAACTTTAAAATTCATTCTAAAAGCACTGTTACTACCTACCAAAAAGAATTATTTTCATCTTCCTCCCATACTCTAATCTAGTACTTAGAGATATGGGGTTTCTCCAAATTAAACTGTAATGATGTAACACATAATAAATATGCAGTGTTTTAACACTCAGCCAGAGTCTAGCTAAAAAGTAAACATCAGACAAAGAAAATGAACTATGTAGTGAGAAATCACTATAAATGCCTTAATCAAATGATGCGCCCCATAGCATACTCCAAAATATAAGTCCCTAATATGCCCCCGGTGGCATCTTCATTTCTAATTATTTAGTTTTGTATGAAGTCACCTTGTACTCATTGTGATCCCAGAATTTTAAAAAGTGGCATTAGACATAATTGTGAAATCTAGCATGTTGGGGCTGGCATTCCCAACTTCCCTTTCCCATCCAATTTGTGTTTACTTGGGTGTCTAAGTGTGTAATGACTTCCAGATAATGCTTGTATTTCTAACAGGCTCTTGCTAAATACACATCTTTCAAAATACATCAGTGAATTGTTGAATATAGAGTTTCAGGTGCTACAGTAGGTAACAGGTGAAAACTGGAATTAGATACCAATGATCTTCCTTTACTCAAATCTAAACGAGTTACTGTCACAAACTATTCTTCACCTCCATGAAATCCTAGCCTCAAGAGCCCTCTGTTTTCATATCTGATTGGAGATTTATGACATTGACCATGGTTATTAAGGCTGCCCTCACCCTATGGAAAGCCATCACTGGCATTGTTCATTTCTAACAATCTGACACCAGGAGAGGGAATTACTGAAAAGTTTTTGATCTTATTAGACTCAGCGAGTCCTTCTTGCTCATGGTAATTTTTAGCACTTCTCTTAGAATTAAAGCTGAAGCTGTCAGAAGAACAAGGGAACATTTCTAAAGGCCCACCTCGAAACCTGTCCTACGAGCAACCCACAGTCCCCAAAGAAAATGGGAAGCCAGAAGCTGCAGGCCCTGATCCAAGCTCCTCTGGAGAAGAGACTTCAGAAGCTATATTGACAAGCCTGAAAGAGAAGAGAGAGCAGCTTCCTCCACAGGAAGACTCTAAGGTACTTTACCATATAATTATAGGGCCCCAGCAGTCCACACAGTACCAGTGAGGTCATGCTTTCAACCAGTCTTCCAGAGCACTTTGCCACTACATAAACATCTTTAGGAGACTGGCTCCAAAATTTTAGTCATGAGTTCCTGTGACTTGATGGCTATGAACTATGGGTATTGGCGTATGATTCCAGGATGTGAGGCTGTTCTGGATGTTATACTGTTGTGTGTTTATAGAAAGAAAACGGCAAAGACACAATGCTATATTATATCCCTTTCTCCCCAATATCATCCCCCAAAATAGCAAACAAGCCCAAGACTAGGGAATAAGTATTACTGTCTGAGGACAGAGCTCCAGTTATAGTCCATTCCTCATATGGGAAAATGCAATAAAGCAAAGATGAGGCATAAAAAATAAGAAAAGTAGTTTTGTATTTTATATAATAATAGAAAAATAGTTTCTTGGGCAGTGTTATTTGGAACTAAAGATTTCCACTTTAGACATCTTAGTTTGAAAACTGTAAGACAACTAGATAGCATTACTGTATATGAGCCTAGAGTTTAAAGAAAAAAATTTTTATGGAACAGAAAAAAGTGATTAGCATTTGCCTGGTTAATCCCTCCTCATCCTGATTATCTACTTTTCTTTTTACTTAGGCCAGGGAAACTTTGCTGTAGTCCTTCCTTTATCAACTCTAAGACTGGTGTGGTTGCCTTTCATCCTTGAATAAGAGTTGCAGCTGCCCTACCATAGCTCTAACGGTTCTGTATGTCATTTTCTACACTTTAAACTTCTTGCATAGATGATTATGGTCCCATAGTACTTACATAGAGGAGCTACTCAATCGTGTTTGCTGAGTGAATCGACAGTTGCACAGATGAATGAAAAAAATTAGTACGTTTAGCTTTGGAATGAAGTCTTCAGGAGGATGATGCCTTTACCTATTCTGTTGTTACCAACTCTACAAAGGCTCATATGTCATTGTGTTCACGTTTCACGCTGGGACTTGTGATCTACAAGTACAAATGGGCACATAGTCACCTCTATCTTTATGAAATACTTCTAGACTTAAAAATGCAAGCAGTATATATTCTAAGTAGTTTGTAGAACACAGTAGTGAGAGGGACACAAGATGGCATATTGGTTTTTATCCATGTGGCAAACCTATTCTTTTCCCTATGAAAGATTTTAGGTTTTAATTATCTCCAGTGGATAACATGTATACACTTAGGTGCATCTGGGGTTTTTCTATTCTTTAATGCTTCTGAGATCTTTCCTATACTTTATAGTTACCTTGACCATGTTTATAAAAGCATCTTATCCTCACTGTGTTCTAACTAGTCCTAACTCCCACTTAATTAGCCCAAGCAGTAAGGGGAGAGTTAGGATTGGTGTAGCAGACTTAGAACAGGCCTCAGTGTTTCACTAGTCCCTTTCTAACAGTGTGCACATGGCAAATGAATTAATTGTCTGAGATTCAACTTCCTCATATTTAAAATCCGGATACTAATGACTTATATAATTATTGTGACAATAAAGGAGATGCCTGCTGTTTTAGTCACTTTTTGTCATTATATAACAAAAGACCTGAGAGAAACAAAGAAGGAAGGATTTATTCTGGCTCACAATTTCAGAGATTTCAGTTCATGGTCACATGGATCTGTTGGTTTTGGGCCATGGTGAAGCAGAATATCACCTCTCAACAGAAAAAAGCTGGGCAAGGTGGTACATGCCTGTCATTCCAACAAAGGTGGGAAATGTAAAATAGGGTTGTGTTTCAGGTCAGTCTGGGCAAAATGGGAGATCCTATTTCCAAAATGATCAGAGCTGAAAAAGGGCTGGGGTGTGGCTCAAGCAGTCAAGTGCTTGCCTTATAAGTATGAAGCCCTGAGTTCAAACTCCAGTACCACCCCCCCAAAAAAAAGAAAAAAATAGCTCAATAAAAAACGATTTTGTTAAGTATTATATAGGAAATTAAGAAGGTAAATTGATAGAAAATAATGGGTATAGCTTCTTATTTAAAGATAGTGGTTAGGAAGATCAAGAAGGTGACATTTAGTGGAGAAAATCATCAACCAAGAGGACAAGAGCATCCAGACAGAATTACAAGTACAGCCACAGAGGAAGGAAGAGCTTGTTGTGTACTTGGAATTCTCTGGTCTGAGGGCTGGAACATAGGAAGTCACAAGATACAATCTGAAGATAATTTGAGATCCATCACATAGGACCTTTTAGACTCTGGAGTGGAGAAGAGGCCAAACGGTGGTAAGCAGAAAACTGACATGAGATGACTCACATGTAAAAGCTCTGACTGCTGTGAGTCAATCCTATGGCAAAAAGGAGATGAAATGGGTGGCTTGATTAGTATAATGGCATTGGAGACAGAAGACATGAAAGTATTCAATGTATAATTTGGTTAGAATCAAAAGGACATGATGAAGCATTAGAAGGGAAGAAGAAACAAATCCTAGATTGTGATAGGTCCATTTACTGACATGATGAAATTACAGAGGAGATTTTGGAGTGGGAATGAAAATGTAAGAGGTCTGTTTGGGACACACTGAGTTTTAAGATTCAAGGAGTTGAATATCCCACCATACCAGTTTGCCCAGAACTTTCTTGGTTTTATAACAGAAAGTCCCATATCCTGGGTAAACTAAGATGGAGGTTGTTTGTCCTTTTGAGGCATCTCAGTCAAATAGGGACATGCAAATGAGTCTGAAGATCAGATAAAAATTTGAGTACTTTAGAAGTTAGCATTGCATAAATGACAATTGTTTTATTATTTTTTATTTTTATGTTTTTGAGGTGCCAGCAGTAATATTTATTGTTATTCATAAGTGGTCAGACTTAGAGGTTCTTACTGGTACAACCACACGTATGAAATGTCAACACATGGAGTGACAGGGTAGTTGTCTTTATATTACAAAACACTCAGACACACACGAGTGTTCATGTACGTTGCTACAAAAGCAAGAAGCATCAAGCCATAGGAATCTTGATATACATAACATATTGGAGTATCTCAAGCATAAAAACCATACTCGAGTTGCAAAAATAAAATTTGTTTCTTCAAACATTTTGTTCTGAGTTTGAGCAAAGTAAGTAAGGAACACCAATGATTTTCATATGATTTCACATACTTTATTACTTTATTATTTTAAATGAAACATGTCTTGAGTTGTTTAAACAAGTGTCCAAAGTACCTTCAAACAAACCTGGTACCTCTGCAGTAGGTGAAAGTTATGGCCCTTTAGATAATCTGCAGTAGAATTTCTAGGCCTCAATACACAAAGCTGCAGTACTGTTCCAGGGAGATCTTAACACAGTGTACCATGTGATAGCTACTCAGCCACACGGTGGGAATTAGGGGTCAATCCAGAGGCCACAGCGGAACCAAAGGAAACTATTTTCCAGAGTGGCTAGTCTTATTCCTGCCTCCTCAATAAACTCAGATCATTTCAGTAAGGTCCATTTCTTCAAACTCAGACTAACTGATGACTTTCATCTGAATGCCTTGCATTACTGTTGAAAATGCATTAAGTATTAAAACTTCCAAGATGAAGAGTGACTTCTTTCCTGGGAAGACTTTTATTCTGATTCTTTCTGAAATTTTTGTATTGGTGTTTAGTCAGAGCCTATACTAACACTGATAAATCCTACAGCACTGCCTTATTGGTTCAGATACTGCAAATGAGCAATTTCCTTCCTCATTTATGTGTGGATGATTTTTAGAGATAATCACTTCACAGGGCATTGTTGTGCAGTGAAAATGAATCAATTTCCCCTCCCTAATTCTGCATATTGCTGGCTACTTAGTATGCAAGACAAATCTTACTTTTGATTTTTTGTTACATAAATGGATGAAACCATGTTGAATAAAACATGGTTTAGGTAGACCTTGGTTATTTAGTAAACCATACATACCTAAAACAGCCAGAGAGAGCTATCCAGAGTATGAATGGGTCATCATATTTTCAAGATATAAGTAGACAAATCTCCAAAGATAATTATGCTTACTTCCTGCTGTTCTGTTTTTATAGCATTAGAAGGAATAAAACTAATAGATTAAAGAAGAGAGAACTTGCATAGAATTTAACTTGGTAAGATTTGTTGATAGTGTTACAACTTCACTATCCAAAAACTTCTAACCCCCATCTAGTAGGTGATTCAATTCTCAAGATTTTTCATAGTAGCCTGAAAACAAGCTGATGTTCCAAGGCAGAACTGCTACTGGAGTGGCAGTCCGGATGTTTCTGGGCCCTGGTCAGAAAGTTATTTGGGGAAAAAGTATCCATAGCTCCAGAACTTGTCCTAGTAAGCTTGTTTTCCTTTTCCTCCATGGAACTGGTGCTGTGTTTTCTGCCTCAGCAAACTAAAGGAACCTTTAATGTATTCATGCCCATAAATGAGCTCTCTCTTAAGGAGAGAAATAAAATTGATATTCGCAATCTCTGTGATGATTGTCATTGGAATTTTGATAGGGATTGCATTGAACATGTAGATTGCTTTTGGTAATATAGCCATTTTCACAGTATTGATTCTACCAATCCATGAGCAATGGGAAATTGTTCCATTTTCTGTAGTCTTCTTCAATGTTTATAGTTTTCCTTTTAGAGGTTTTCACATCCTTTGTTAAATTTATTCCTGAGTGGGGTTTTTTTTTTTTTTGAGGCTATTGTAAATGGAATTATTTTCCTATATTCTTTCTCAATCTGTTCCTTGTTGATGTATAGAAAGGCTATTGATTTTTGTAAATTGATTTTTTATCCTGCTACTTTGCTGAAGCTGTTTATGGCATCTAGGAGTTTTATGCCAGAGTTTGTTGGGTCTTTTAACTTTAAGATCAGTCATCTGCAAATAGGGATAGTTTGACTTTTTTCTTTCCAAATTGTATTCCTTTTATTTATTCTTCCTCTTATATGCTGTAGCTGGGAATTCCAAGACTATGTTGAATAAGAGTGGAGAGAGTGGATACCCTTGTCTCATTCCTGACTTTAGAGGAAATGGTTTCAGTTGTCCCCCATTTAGTATGATGTTGGCTATAGGCTTGTCATATGTAGCCTTTATAATGTTGAGGTACATTCCTTCTGTTTCTAGTTTCATCAGAGCTTTTATCATGAAAGGATGTTGAATTTTGTCAAGATGCCCCACTCCTAATGAATGGATTAAGAAAATTTGGGATTTATATAGAATTGAAGTTTATTCAGCCACAGAGAATGAAATTTTGTCATTTGCAGATAAATGAATGGAACTGGAGAGCATCATCTTCATGTTTTCTTTCATATGTGAAATATAGACCTAATACAAATACAAGCGATATTATGAAAAACAGGTCACACTAAGGGGAGATCATATACAAGAGAGAGGGTAAAAGAAGTTACGAAGGTGAATATGGTTGATGTAATTCCTGTACATGAATGAATATAGAATTTTTAAACCTATTGAAATCACCATAAGAAGAGGATGAAGGTAAAAAGGAGAAAGATATGAGGAGATGAACCAATTCAGGTTATAATAATGTATACATGGAAGTATCACAAAGAAACTCCCAGGATAGCAATCTTGAACAACCAAAATCATAGAACATGAGGATAGAACAGGTCCTGTCTGGAGGGGTTGGTACCAGTGGGAGAAGGGGAGGATGTGGGGAAAGGGTGTAGGAGGATGTAGGTGCAAATACCGTGTACACATGTATGTGAGTGGGAAAATGAGAGCAGTTGAAACTATTCCAGGAATGAGGGAAGGAGGGAATAAAGGAGAATGATAGAGGGGGCAAATTCAAGTATGATATATTTGATATATTGTAAGAACTTTTGTAAATGCGACAATTATCCCCAGTACAACAATAAAAAGAAAAAAACCTGATATTCTCCTTTGTAAACTATAGGAAACTATTGTACTTTAGCTATAGGGATCAGGTCTTGTCAAGTTTCCCCTGTGTCTAAGAAACACATGTAGACTGTCCATGAGAACTCGTGTTTCTCTTTAGGGATTGTTTCAGTAATGATTCTAAGAAGAAAATAATGGAATCATTAGAGTTGCATACATTGCACATGTACCTTAATTTTAATCTAGTATCTGTGGAAGATTCTTTTCTAAAGTAACATTCCTCATTCTAACTTGCTTTTTGGTCAGTAATAATTAAATGAACTGTTTTCTGAACTGTTTTCATGGAATATAATTCCTAATGAGATACTGAATAAAAAGCATTATTTTAATTCTTTTGAATTCAGATAAAGAATTTTTCTTCTATGAAAATTTCATGCAATACATTTTTATAGGATTTTTTTCAAGTAAAAATGTGTCATGACTAAAGAAATGGTTTTGAACTGATTGGTCTAGAAAATTAAATCCTCTTCTGATATTTAGGCAATACTTAAAAGACTTCTACAGAAGTTATCTTTCTTTCTATTGAAAATAAAGACAAATGAAAGAGTGTCAGGTTATAGCTTGTGCATTATAGATGAAGAATGCTGAAGAATGCTAAAAATTAGTCCCTTTGCAATAAGAACTTGTGTTGATAGTTTGGTAGAACGGTTGGGATGTGTTGGGTATTATGTAACTTAAAGTAAGTATGTGGTATGATTGTGGTCTTCCAGAAACTTTAAATTTATTTGGGTAGATAAGAGAAACCAAAAATAGTTAAGATTCAGATACAGAAGTTCAGAGAAAGGAAAGACAGATATGGGCCAGAATGGCTTACAGTTAGGATGGGGGCAGGGTAGAATGAGTATAACTGGGAAGCCTTTTCTTTCTCTCAAGAGTCTCTCTGAAAGGCAGAGCTTTTTTAGCAATCTTGGGTGTGTTTAGTTCAATATAATATACCTGAGTGGTTATGAATTGTTTCTACCATTCTCTTCCCACTGCCTGCTGAAGACAAGCTATTGTCTAAACGGAAAGGGGAGGTTGCATGTAGTAAATAGGAGCAAATTATTGCAGGACACAAAGGGTGTGTGTTGTGTGTGTGTTGTGGGGGGGAACCCAAGGTGAGTGGGTGAGCAGAGGAGTTTGGTCACTTTCGATAAGTAGATAGACAGATATCTATATAATTTTTATACAGAATATCTATATATATACATATAGTGTATGTGTATATATACACATATATAATGCTGAGGGATGAGTCACATAGCAGAGGGTGCAGAATACATTAGTATAAGTTATAGGACACTTTTTTAGTTAGAAGAAACTGAACAATTAAGATACTTTTTAGAACCACCTGGAAGGAACTTTGTAACTCTAACCTTTTTATTGTATGGGGAGGAAGTTGAGATTTCAGAGAAGTTACATGTTTTGACCAAAATAACTTAGTTTATCAGCGCTAACCAGTAAGCTAGTATATAGTCCATTCATATAGCAAGGAAGACCTGCAAATAGTGTTTGCGAATATAATCATGAAAGTACAAATAAAATAAGTTGTTCAGAAGAAAAAATCAGTAGGTCTTGATGACTCACTCTTTTTTAAATGAAGAAGTTATTAAAGACAAGGCCTAATACTATTTATGCTTTGCAGACTCCTGCACAAAACCTTAAAAACCATCTTTCTAGACTTGGACCTGTCCTTTAAGGAACTTTTCCTGGGAAAAGATGGCATGTGCAATCGACAGTATCTTATGAGTTCCCTTTTTCTAATTATTGCATTATGGTGTTATAATCCTGCATGTTTTCATTCTTGGTTGTGAAAGGAACAATAATTGATTTCATGTTTTCAGGTAACTAAGCAAGACAAGAACCTCATAAAGCCTCTTTATGATCGATACAGAATTATCAAGCAAATCTTGTCAACGCCTTCCCTTATTCCAACAATTGTAAGTATGGATAATTGCCATTAACTGGAAAACATATGGTGCTTCGTATTGATATTTAGTTAGCAATATGTCATAGTTAGCACTATAAGAGTTATGATGTGACCTTCTTGGCTGTATATAACACTAACATCAGCTGTTATTTGAAAAAGTAGAAATGTGGTCTTCCCTAGCTCCAGTACTACCATGAACAATGATAATTAGAACTACTGTGAAACAGGGATATATAGCGCTTATGTGCTCGAAGCCAGTTTTAACATTTGCTTTCATTACTTTGGGTGAAGAAAAGAGATGATGGGTTTCAGTTTGGCATTGTCTATAATGGAGACAGACAAATTAGCCTCTCTATTCTGTGTGTTGGTTATTTTTCTTCTTTAATAAGAAAATTGACAATTTATTCCTTGATATAATGCAGTGTATAAGCTATAAGTAGATTTATTTCAGAAGAAAATCAGAGTTGTGAAATTGAGTTAGGCTACTTTTAATAGAGAATGATTTATGGGAATACAGAACTTGAAAAGTAGCACAAGTCTTACTCCATCAATATCAAAACAACCATTTGTTCAAGACATCAGTATAAAAAGTACATTTATACTTCTATATTTATTTTTCTGTCAGTACTGGGGTTTTTGAAATCATGGCCACACACTTTCTAGTCAGACATTTTACCACTTGAGCCACTTTACCAGCCCCATACTTCTGTATTTTTGAATATATAAAGAGAATAATAATTTATAGTCTGAAATATTCCTATTGAGGAAGCATAATTTAAAATGGAGTGATTTTCAGATTTCCTTCCAAGAAAATCTTTTTGTTTTGATAATTACCAGAATAGGTTAAGAGTAACTCCACTTTGCTTAGGCTTTCAGAGAGCTCTTCCTTGAGTTTGTCAATTTTACAAAGATCCTCTGTATGTAAATGTGGCCCACATGGGGACCTGTCAGGGACAATTTTCGAATGACAAAGTGTCTGTACTCCATCTCATTCTAACCCATATCACTAGTGTGAAGCGAGGGCCCAGAAGGTCTGGGTGAAAGGGTGGAACCCATGACAGTACAGTCCAGATTGGACCATGTCCTAAATGTCTGTGCCTTCCTTGGCCAGCAAGTGCAAATGAACTGGTAAGCATTTTAGCTCAGCATGGGAGCCTTTGTTTACTGACTTTGCAGGGTTTTTGGAATACAGTTGAAAATGGGCTCTTTCTTGGTAGTTTCCATCCCAGTTCTCAGTAGGCACAAGGATCACCTACTGATTTTCATGGTGTCTTATATGGTCTCTACTTTTTTGCATTCTCAAGAGGCACTAAGCATTGTGTGACTTTAACTCTGCCTGTCATAAGCAGGAGGAAGAGGACTCTGATGAAGACTATCCACAAGGAAGCCAACAACCTCCTTTACTAGATCCAGCATCTCACCTTTCTGTTGATGATCACTTTACCTACTCTAGTGAGATAGAGCCGGTAAGAGCACTGCTAGCAGATGAAAAGAAAGAAGCAAAACAACCAGCTCTCTCCATGTCCAATTTACATGAGGCTACCATGTGAGTATGAATCCTAAGTGTGGAGTATCTTTTTAAACTACTTCTAGTCTGGGGTACCTTATATAGACACATGATCAAGAAAAATCTGTTACTCTCTAAAAAGTGCTATCCAGCAGAGAATAGCCCTAAAAGCATAATCTGGTTTTCTTCTTAACTGGAGACTCTAGAAGATAAAGCCATGAGGAGCCACAGCAACCAGTAAAGTCCTAAAGATGGCATAAATGTTAACATTCAGTTTGCTTTAATCGTATCTCCTTTTAGCAGGGTTCTGGTGCCAATCTAACCCTTAGCAGTGTGAGAAATAGCACTGGCCATTGGAAATGCTGGACCCAAAGGAATTAAATCCTGTGTGGGTCAACATTTGCCAGAGCTTTAATGCTAGTCTATTACATTTAGATGAAATAGTTTCTCCAGACTAGTACTTGCTTTGGCCCTAAATAAATGAGTTGCTCTGTCTCCTGTTGGTGGCTCCTCAGTCAAGAGCTATTTGGATTTTCATTAATAGTATCATTATTTGTCAGCTAGTATTCCTCTTTATTTAATTTAAAAAAATTTTTTATTGCTGTACTTAGGGTACATTGTGACATTTACAAAAGTGCCAATTTATCTTATCTAAATTCACACTCTCCATCAATTCTCCTTTATTCCCCCTTCCCCTCATTCTTAGAATGGTTTCAACAGGTCTCATTTTTCCATTTTCATACCTACCATTCCTCTTATCATTTGGCATTGTTTGGATTGTATATTATAGCCCAGATTGTGAGAATTTAACATGCATTGTATAGTCTGGTTAGTCTGTGTCCCCGAAAGACAGATGAAGTAAGACCAAACTAAATTGTAAGGTGAGATTTTTAACTTATTCTTCTTTTTGTGGGGGGAGGGCATTGTTGTTCTAAAGTAGTCATTACTGACTTTTGGGGAGAAGAATGTTAGACCTTTTTTGAAATCAATGAAATATTCTTGTAGAAAATTCCCATATATCATTTGAGAGTTTAGAGTCTCTGAAACCATATAGAAATTCAGTAGAATTTGCAATGGAACTACAACTTTTGACTGGGTCTCAGTTTCAGTCTCAAGGATTTTGTCATTCTCCCCATACTCTAAATCATAGAATTTTCTTTAAAATCTCTTCCTATAGTGTTACTTATATACACGCCATCACCAAATACTGATGAGTATTCCTTTGAAATGTTTGTTCCATCCTCTCATTTAGTCATATCACCATTATCATTGTCATTTCTTAGGTTGAATCCACTTCGCTCTTATCTGTCCTTTCCCATAATTACCTGTTTCTATCAGGTAATTTCCCATGATTATGGAATGCCCCGGTAGTTCAGTTGTGTGTGCCATACCTGAAGACTCTTTTTATGATCAAAACACTTTTCAGTCATAATATGCTTTTTGCTGAGTAGATATAAACATACTCATGATCATTATTATTCCAGAGCTCAGTAATGGTAAATATGTATTTTACTTGACATAGGCCTGTACTTCTTGACCATCTTCGAGAAACCAGGGCTGACAAAAAGAGACTGCGGAAAGCTCTAAGAGAATTTGAAGAACAGTTTTTTAAACAAACAGGAAGGTAAGTGTGTGCAGAGAAGTTTTCTTAACTTCTATTTCCTAGAGAAATTCCTAGGTATTTCCTAGAGAAATACTGCAATGAATTGCAGTGACTTAGACAAGTAAGTTTCTACACTGGCTTAGACTTATGATTTTTCCAGTGAAACATTCTGAAAGTACCATTACTAGGGATGTTTTATGAGAGGATACAGTGGTCAAGTATTATATCAATCTTTAAGAAATAAAGGATGAACTCTAAAAAAATCCCTAACTTTGCATAATCAGTTGTATTGTACCCATTGAATTTATCAAAATATATTTCTCAGCCCATATATACACTCCTTTGTTCTTGGATCTTTAGCTCCACAAGTTATTCCCTACTTATTAAATAATAATTGTTCCTTTACTTGAAGTAGCTCCTTTAAACTTCAGGATGTTCCCCTAATCATTCCCCTCCCCCCCAAGATTTGGGAAAAAGCTCATAGCCATTTTCTACATTTATCTGTCATCAGTTTTTTGTTTCAACCAAAGTCTTATACACTCCCTTAATTTCCTCTAATTTTTAATGTATAACATAATTGAATATTTTATGTGTGTGTATAAATACACACATATTATACATATTCAGGAGATAAGGGTTATGGTCTACTTTGGAAGAGAGACAAATCACTCACCTATCCTGAACCTCAGCTTCCATCTTTATATGCTGAAATGGTTTTATTCCTGGGATAATTTAGGAAGCTAAAACTGTCAAATGGGACATCAGTCTTTAAAAAATTAATTAAAGGTGTAACTTTCACTCAGCCACAAAGTTAAGTGTCAGGGATTTTAAAGAATTGTTAGAGCCAGTTCTCCTTGGTATTCCTCTCCATTAAGGTATCTGATGATACCTGAACTGTCTTCAGTTCAGCAGCCTAAGGATTACCCTGACAGAGAGGGACTTTTCTAAAGGCACCTTAAAGCATTCAAGTTCAGGTTACTCACTTCTTAGTCCTTGGTGGCTTTTCCATTTCAGCTCACCGGGGCTATTCAGTAGGAGTGGAACTATTAAGTGAAAAACTTTTTTTGCATTCAGCAAATACAGATGTAATACATTTAGTTTCCTACTTGGAATCTTTCTTTCCAGTTGATTGCTACAAGTCCAACTTACTTACCTTCCTGCTGATATTAACTAGTGTACTGTTAAATAGGATGATTTGTGTTCTTTTTCATACTTGTTTCTTTTATGAAACATTTATGCAACTTTCCCTGCAAAACACTCCTTGGTATAATGACTCATGTATTGTGCTTTGCATACATGTATGACTTGCATTAAAGTTTCTGATCCGTTCCTCTTTAAATTATTCTCAGGGAATTTTTTTATTTAGGTAAATATTTGGGGAGATGTTATAAGTATTCTAAATCTAAATAGTTATTGCATACGAGAATGAGTTAATCACTTTAAGATGTGCATACATTCTTTTCATAATTTTTAGTTCCCTGAATAAATTTACATTTTTATCTGAACCCAGGAGTCTACCTTAAAGAATTTGAGAAGTTCAAAAGATGCTGGTAGCTCTGCCTACTGGACCTATAGTATTATTTGGAATGCCTTTTGAAATGCTAGGGAGATCTCTTCTACATATAGCATTCTACTGTACCTGTGAAACCTAAACCCACCTCAGATATACCTGTATTTGCTATATATGAGGATGTATACCTTCCTGTGGTGATAGATTTCATGTAAATATAAAAGTGGTGATTACAACTAAAATCAGTTGAATGGCTAGGAAATATGGACTGTAATCTTGTTTTCCTAAGAGATTTTATTGGAAAGAATTACCCATCCATACAGTAAAATACCATACAAATGGAACGCTATTAAGTTTTAAGACACTGTAAGTGTTCTTGATAATACATTTACAAGCAGCATGCAGTTGTTAGACTGCTATGTATAAAAATCTATGCACTGGTATCTGTCTAGTCCTAGTGGAAATAGTGTATACAAGAGAACTATTGCAATTTAGACTCATAAATTACTTCAGTCAAGGAATAACTCAATTACTGCACTAAACATCAACAGCAACAGGTATTATAATTATAGGAAAACTTGGAATTGTTTTGAGGTTGTAAGACAGCCACTGGGCATTTTTCTTTATATCACAAACTTATGAATAGTATAATCAAATTTCTGTGGTATTTTCAGGTTGTTATTTCTCACAACTTTCACTATAAAGGCTGAACAATCTGCACAGGCATGGAATTATGGCAGGTAATGGGAATGTCTAGACAAAAATGACTTAAAAGGATCTAGCCTATGTTTTTATCTCAGATCTTTTTCACTTTCCCTACTGCTATGTTTGAACACTGGATCACGTATTTGCAAAATACATATGACATTCAATTTGTCAAAGAGTACTATCATTTAGAAACATGAAAGGAATAGTGAATGAGGGTAAGGAGATAAAGAAGACAATACAAAAACCAAGTGGAAGCTGCTTCCCTTTACTTTCTTATGTATGGATTATAAGAGTATATTTAATGACTTAATTTGATATGAATAATAGACTGTACTTTGTGTTTTGCAGAAGTCCACAAAAGGAAGACAGGATACCAATGGCAGATGAATACTATGAATACAAGCACATAAAAGCCAAACTGAGGCTATTAGAGGTCCTCATCAGCAAGCAAGATGTGGCTAAAACTATTTGAGGTTCAGAAAATCTCTATGATCACTTTTCATCCAAGATAAAGTCAAGCTTATTTTCCTCTGCCTTTCTTGATAAGTAGTTTTGACATACTGAAAAGGGAAGCACTTTAGTGGTAGTATTAGCTGTTTTTAAGAAGGGTTAGCAGGTGTAATTATATATAAGGAGAAGGGATTTAAATGGGGGGAGGAAATATAATCAGTAACCATCTAATTGGGAAAACTCAAAGTCAATATAATTATTTTTTAAAAAATCTATTTTTATCAAATCTAAATAACACACAGCTGGGCCATCTGTTACGGAAAGTTGTGTGTCCAAAGATTGTTTTTGTTGGTGTATGGAAAAGAGCATGATTTAAAGAAATCAGTGAGAAGAGGAAAAGGAATTCTGATTTTCATATAGGAAAGAAAACAGCTAGTAAGAAAGTGATTTATTTGAAATTTTGAATCAATTTTTAAGTGATACAACATCTACTATGTTGTCCCTTAAGTCTGTTAGGCTTTCAGTACCTTAAAATAAAGTAGAATGTGTCATTGCTAATTTTTTATTTCTATATAAAAATAGCACATTATTTTATGTTATTTGAAATTTTACATTTCTGGTTACCAAAGTTCATTCTGATAGCATGTACTTTGTGAATTATCTTTGTTTAAAACTAACAGATGTTTATAATAAAATATTGTATTAAAATTTTAAAATAGGTATTTTGGATAGATGTGTTTGCAGTAAAGCTAATGTGACCATAGTATTATTGCTAATCTTTTTGTTTGCTATACTTAAAATTATTTAACTATTTTTCCATTGGGAATAGCATTTTTCTTAGTGTACCAATGTCTATACTTTGTAAAGTGAAAAATCTTTCTCATGAGCTGTATTCATCTGTACAAAATGAAAGGTTTAGAAACTGTCTGCCATGACACCTTGGAAAAGAAAGCCAGAATATTTTACTTGCTTCATCAACTTCAGTGTATCTTGTTTTGTGTTATTCTGTACAAAAACACATTGTTTTTGTTTTTGTGAAAACAAGTAAAAGGTAGACATTTTCTCTCATTATCAACCATGTTTGTATTTCTATTTTCTGTAATGTTTAAGCATGATGTTAAAGAAACTCACATTTTCATATAGCTTAGATGAGATGAATATCAAAGATTTCAAAGCAGACTATTTCAGAGCCTTATTATTTTCTCTGTATTTACCTGATATTTTTATGAATCATAATAATGTCCTTCATAAATTTGTTTAATTGAAATCATCTACTTGTAACAGGACAGATACACAACTATTTGAGGTTTACAAATTACATCTTTGATAAGGGAAATGGTTTCGTGACATGTATACAATTGCTATTAAAATGTACCTCTATATATTATATATGATTGTAAATATTTTATACAACAATACAAATAAAATATTTTTCTATTATATTTATTATGTTGAAACACAGTTTCCTGTTAGCTAATATAAATAACATAAATAACACTGTCAAACAACAAGTTGGAAGTGCTGACAATTCTAGGCTTCAATGTTTAACTCATGCTGCAATTACACCCTTTCATGCGGTTTGGAGTAATCCCAATATTTGTTCAGTAGATTAAAATGAATGCATATTTAAACACCATTTATAAGCCATTATTTTGTATTTTGCTAAAGCGGTCTATATAATTGTCTTGTTATGTTTGGCATAAAGGAAAAATAATAACATTGCAGCATCTAGGCAAATAAAGTGTCAGAAGGAGAACTTAGGATATTTCATTATTGAAAGTAGTGGAAAGGGTGGAGAATAGGAAACACTAGAATGACTCTTAATGAAATTTGAAAAAAGTAGTAGTTTGCTTTTGGTGATACCGGCATATGCATGCTTCAGTGGAAAACATCTGATGATGAAAATGAACAACAGAGGATGAATGCTTCTAGGGGAAAACAAGGGGAAGAGTAAGAATAAGAAAAGTGGGCATTAACGTCCAACACTTATATTACAGGTTTTGCAGCTGGGATCTTTCTTTGCATTTGCAGTAGACAAACTCATGAGCTGATGACCAGTGATTTCTGCCACGGTGCCCAGAGAAAGATCCACAGGGTCAGTGTAAATGACTTCTAAAATGACATCCTGGGCATGGTGGTAAACCAGCACCCCATCTTCTTCTGTACAGGTCAAAAATTTATTATCCTTAGAATTTAGTTGAGGAAGGCGCTGCTTACAAAATTCATCTCCTGGTGATCCCACAGGGGCAATAACAAGAATCACATAATGATAAGCAGTGTACATACAATAGAAGTCCCCAAAGTATAAGTTAGTATTGGGGTTAAAAAGTTTTTCTGCTGCAATCTCAAACCTGTATCTTCCGTAAGGTGAATCCTGGGGTGGCTTCCCAGTATTGAATTCAGTGCTGCAGCTGAAAAAGATACCTTCTAATTTCCCACTGATAGGAGAGCCATGGCTACCACTGTTATCCTTGACAGAGGGCTGCATAGCATTCCCATGGTGTTCTCTGCCAGAGAAAACAAATGGTTATTGTTTAGTACAACAGTGGTAAATTTACTTATTTACAGATTTGAACAGTCTAAAAGTCAACCATCTACTGTTAGGTTCTGAATGGCCATCCTATTACCAGATCAAGACCAGCTGTTACCTACTATGCCTGAATTCTAGCCCTGAGCCCAAAGTAAGGAGGATCTACTACAGACTCTGGAGGCCTTTAGTAGAATAAAGTAAATTTCCTCGATAGAAAAATAAAACTGCAATTAAAAATTTTACAGGTGAAATCACATCCATTTCATGTTTACAGGGTTTCATAAGTGGCTTTTTGAAAAGAAAAGTAGACTAAAAGTATTGATATTTGAATATCTGAATACTGGCAAATACACTGAATTTTTTTTAAAGTATGCTAGAATTTAGTAGCAAAATGGGTGTTGTCTACTTGGGGATGATCCTGTGGCTCCAAGACTACAGCTGCTAATGCCACAGGCCCAGGCATCTTCAACATTCATCCTAAGAGCCCTAGGAAAGATTTCCTTTATATCATGTAGCTTAGGGACAGTGGCTGCTGGCACCACAAACTTTGGTGTAACATTTGCTTTCAGCAAGAAACCTAGAGATAGTCTTCTTCACATCCCATACCATGGAGACTGGCAGCTGTTATTGCATGCCCCATTGCCATTAGTGCTCAACTCTGTGGCGCCTGAGGACACACACCTTTACAGGCCTTCATTCACTGCAAATTCACACAGCTATCTTCATGAACCACTGTTTAGACTATGGAGGCACTCATAGACACTGTGAACATCAATGAAAGACAAATCACACAGAGACATACTTTTGAATTCTTGTATAATCAAATTCAAGGCACCTACCCACTGACATCTTACACCCCATCTAAATGAGAAAATCTTTTCTTACAAAAACTACTTTATAAAACTAGAAGAGGTGAACAATAGATAAAGAGAAACTAATAAGAAGACACACAAAAAACCCCATGAACTAGAACAGGACAACTCCAAAGGAAGAATTTTTCCAGAAAAAGATCCTAGCCTGAAGGAAATCTATCAAATACCTGAAAAAATAACAACCCTAAGGATATTCAGAGATACAAGAGAATATTGATAAAATACAAAGATATGAGAAAAACAATTTCAGGATATAAGTGAGAAACTCATGAAAACAGATAAATCATAAAATCATAAACCTTGGAGACAAGGTTTCAATTAATGAAATAAAATACAATGGAGAGCTTGTGTAACACTAGAATAAGCAACAGAAAAAAACTGCTGAACTTGAAGTAACCAACCAAGAATAAAGGAGAATGAAGAAAGTCTATGAGACTTATGGGATGGTGATAAGAAAATAAATATTTGCACTGGGAATTTCAGAAGATGATAAAAACAGGGCAATTCATCAAAAAACCTATTTCATGATATAATAGTTGAAATTTTCTCAAATGTTTAAAGAAATATGAATATCCAGATATAACAGGCTCACAAGATGCCAACTAGATTCAATCAAAGTAGACCTTCACCAAGGCATATTATAGTCAAAATGTCAAAAGTACAAGACAGAATCCTAAAAAAAAAAAAAAAAAGAGAAAAGCATCAAGACACATATAAGGGAATTCCCATTAGACTTACAGTACATTCTCAGCAGAAACCTTACAGACCAGAAGATAATGGAATGTTATATTCAAACACTCAAAAAAATGCCAACCAAGAATATTGCAAAACCAGAAGAGAAATAATGTCTTTTCAAGAGAAGCATGAACTGAGGGAATTCATCCTTATCAGATTAAGTCCTACAAGAAATATTTAAGGAAGTCCTATACTACAAATCAAAGGATACTATCATAAAAGCACATGAACATACAAAAATCACCAGAAGAACAGACACAAGAATCAGACTAGCATGACAGAAAACTACCAACTCACAAAAATAGTAAGCATTAGAAAGGAACAAAAATATGAAATAGTAGAATGCAATTAGTTAAATGACAGGAGGAAGTTTTTAATGAATGTAAATGGGAGATCTAGACTGGCTAAATCGATTATAAACAAAACCAAATGTATGCTGCCTACAGGAAACTCACTAAAAGGCTGTATCACATAAATGGAAACAAAAGTGAGCAGAAATAGTTATATGAGATAAACCATTAAATCAAAAACCGTAAAAAGGAGATAAAAAGTCATTATGTAGTGATGAAAGGATCAATTCACCAAGAAAATATACTTGTAAATATATATTTACCCAACATGGGACCACCCAAACATGTAAATAAAGTATTAGATCTAATGGAAAGGTATACTAATATAATAATAGATAGGAACATCAACATACTGCTCTCCTCAATGGACAGATTATACAAGCAGAAAAATCAACAAAGATCTGAGTTGAACTATACTATACAGCCAATGGGCCTAACAATAGTTATATAACATTTCATTCAATAGCAGCAGAATATACATTCTCATTAGCACATGGAACATTCTCCAGGATAGATCATATATTAGGCCACAAATCAAGTCTCAATAAATTAAAAAAAAAAAGAATTCATATCATGTATCTTCTTACACCATGAGGAATAAGGCTATAAAGAAGATAAAACAATAAAAAGAATGGAAAGTACACAAATACACATAGAAATTGAGTAACATGCTCCTAAAGGACCAATGGGTAACTGAAGACTTTAAAAAAGAATCAAAACATTTCCTAGGGATAGTGCTCAGTAGTAGAGCACAAGTCCTCAGGTTCAATCCCCAGCATTGCAAAACTAAAAAATAAATATAACAATGTAGCAAAAGCATAGGAGAGGGCAGTTTATAGCAGTAAATACATACATAAAAAAACAAAGACTTCAAATAACCTAAATGCACTTCAAGAACTTAGAAAAGCAAGAAGAAATCCAAATTGCAAAAGGAAAGGACAAAGATCAGAGCAGAAATAAAATTAAAATTAAAAAAACACAAAAGATCAGTGAAACAAAGAGTTGGTTTGGATAATCAAAATTAACAAGTCTTTAGCTTTGCCTAACAAAAAGAGAAAGCCTGCCAGGCACCTGTAATCTTAGCTGCTCGGGAGGCAGAGATCAGGAGGATCGCAGTTGGAAGCTAGCCCAGGCAAACAGTTCGTGAGATCCTGTCTTGAAAAACCCTTCACAAAAATAGGGCTGTTGGTGTGGCTCAAGGTGAATAAATAGCAAACTACCAAAACTGAATCAAGAAGAAAATCTAAATAGACCAATAATGAGTAATAAGACTGAAGCACTAATTAAAAATTTCCTACCTAAAAAGACTAGAACCTGATGGCTTTAATTCTGAATTCCATAAAGCATTTAAAGAAGAACTAATTCTAATTTTTAAGAAACTATTCCAAAAAATTGGAATGGACAAGGTTGGTATCACTATGGGACCCAAACCAGATAAAGATAAAGAAGGGAAATTATAGGCCCATATCCCTGGTGAACATAGACACAAATATTTTCAAGCCAGATTCTAAGTAAATTAAAAACATCATACACAGTCATCAAGTGGAATTTATTCCAGGGATGTAAGAATGGTTCAATATATGCAAATCACAAACTGAGAAAGAATATATGAAAACAATTCCATTTACAATAGCCTCAAAAAAAAAAAATCAAATACCTAGGTGTAAACTTAAAAAAGTATGTGAACGACCTCTACAAGGAAAACTATACACTTCTGAAGAAAGAGATTGAGGAAGACTATAGAAAGTAGAGAGATCTCCCATGCTCATGGATTGGTAGAATCAACATAGTAAAAATGTCGATACTCCCAAAAGTAATCTACATGTTTAATGCAATTCCCATCAAAATTCCAATGACATTCATTAAAGAGATTGAAAAATCTACTTAAATTTATATGGAAACACAAGAGGCCACGAATAGCCAAGGCAATACTCAGTCAAAAGAACAATGCAGGAGGTATCAATACCTGACTTCAAACTATATTACAAAGCAATAACAATAAAAACAGCATGGTACTGGCACAAAAACAGACATGAAGACCAGTGGAACAGAATAGAGGACCCAGATATGAAGCCACACAACTATAACCAACTTGTCTTTGACAAAGGAAAAAATATACGATGGAGAAAAACAGCCTCTTCAACAAAAACTGCTGGGAAAACTGGTTAGCAGTCTGCAAAAAACTGAAACTAGATCCATGTATATCACCCTATACCAAGATTAACTCAAAATGGATCAAGGATCTTAATATCAGACCCAAACTCTAAAGTTGATACAGGAAAGAGTAGGAAATACTCTGGAGTTAGTAGGTATAGGTAAGAACTTTCTCAATGAAACCCCAGCAGCACAGCAACTAAGAGATAGCATAGATAAATGGGACTCATAAAACTAAAAAGCTTCTGTTCATCAAAAGAAATGGTCTCTAAACTGAAGAGAACACCCACAGAGTGGGAGAAAATATTTGCCAGCTACACATCAGACAAAGGACTGATAACCAGAATATATAGGGAACTTAAAAAACTAAATTCTCCCAAAACTAATGAACCAATAAAGAAATGGGCAAGTGAACTAAACAGAACTTTCTCAAAAGAAGAAATTCAAATGGCCAAAAAACACATGAAAAAATGCTCACCATCTCTAGCAATAAAGGAAATGCAAATTAAAACCACACTAAGATTCCACCTCACCCCTGTTAGAATAGCCATCATCAGCAACACCACCAACAACAGGTGTTGGCGAGGATGCGGGGAAAAAGGAACCCTCTTACACTGTTGGTGGGAATGTAAACTAGTACAACCACTCTGGAAAAAAATTTGGAGGCTACTTAAAAAGCTAACATGATCTACCATTTGATCCAGCAATACCACTCTTGGGGATATACCCAAAAGACTGTGACACAGGTTACTCCAGAGGCACCTGCACACCATGTTTATTGTGGCACTATTCACAATAGCCAAGTTATGGAAACAGCCAAGATGCCCCACCACTGACGAATGGATTAAGAAAATGTGGTATCTATA